CTGGAGTCACTCGCCATCCAGATGCTGCTGCAGTTAAGGTAGTCTATTTCACAGAATCGTAGAATAGTTAGGGTTGGAAAGGACCTTAAAATCATCCAGTTCCAACCCCCCTGCCATGGGCAGGGACACCTCACACTAAACCATGTCACCCAAGGCTCTGTCCAACCTGGCCTTGAACACACCCAGGGATGGAGCATTCACAGCTTCCCTGGGCAACCCATTCCAGTGCCTCAAAACCCTTAAAGAATTTCTTCCTTATATCCAATCTAAACTTCCCCTGTTTTCAGTTTGAATCCGTTACCCCTTGTCCTATCACTACAGTCCCTAATGAAGAGTCCCTCCCCAGCATCCTTACAGGCCCCCTTCAGACACTGGAAGGCTGCTATGAGGTCTCCACGCAGCCTTCTCCAGGCTGAATCTCCAGTAACCCAGTAATTGATTCCAACAATCTCCAGTCCTGTACAAAGCAGAATTCAATTAATTCCAAGGCTTCAAATCCAAGGGATTATGTTTACATACAAGCAGAGCATTTTTATCGATTAGAGTTTAGCAGGAGAGAAATGTGATGGTTTCCTTTCTTTGCCTCAACTGTCTTCAGCATTGATGGGGGAAACACAACAGACTTCAACAGAGTATTTTGTTAGGAAAATAGAACAAGGGCTCCATAATTTGCAGTCCTTTGAAAGATGAGGCACTGCTTTTAATCCCTTCAAGTCTAATAGGCAGGTTGAGAACAGGAGCATGTGAACCTAATGAATTATGGTACCTTTTGGAATTATAGCTGAGATTAATATGATACTGCATATTTATGTCATAATATCAAGCTTAACACTCTCAGGATGTGCCAAAATCCACCTCTGTGACTGAGTGAACATGAAAGTCTTCCAAGATGATAAGTTGTCATCATTTCAAGGAAGAAACAAAGACAAATGCAGTAGTGCCGCTATTGATGGAAATGATGTTCGCTAATGATGGGAAAGCTGGAAATGCAAACGGAGAAGCTGTCAAGCCGTGTGCAGTACAACTCAGTCACCTCAGTGTCATATTACAAATGGGAAAAGGACATTGTAGTTTATCACATTATGAGCAAGGACTGTATTATTAGCATTACCTAAAGAAACGTTGCTGCTAATGATGCAGTCTGCAAATGAGTTAATGTCTTTCCCTGTTGAAACCTTGACATCCAGCTCAAACACCCCTTCAAAAAGCAGAAACTGTAATCTGGTAATTAACTGCAATTAAGAAAACTCCACAGCCACAAACCACAAAACAAACTGTAACAATCCATTTACTCCGATTTGGTCACACCATCTGTTTCGCTCAGCTCTATGTGCACTCTGATAAGTCACTCTTATTTTCAAGCAAAAGTAAAAAACAAAACTCAATGTTCCTTCCAATTCCAGTTGCAGAGTCCTCAGTTGAACCTCACCGTTCTTACATAAACACATCCCACATTTAAGCAAGACACTGAAAGACAAGCTTGCAGTCTTTTAAGGCATAAGACTGGTTGATAATTCTTTTACCTCCATAAAAGATTAGGTGTGACTTTGGAAAAGAGTTCACCCAAAGTGGTCAGTCTTGAGTATTCAGGATGCTTTTATCCCAGGAGTTTGATATTAAGAAGGGCCAGGTGCCTAAAACTTCCTCACCTGATGAGTTTTCACATCTCCATGCACTAGACTGAAGCTTCAACAGGATGGAGCAGCTAACGATAAGCCTCCTTCACAGGCAGGCACAAAGACTTCAAGCCAAAAATCATGTCCCCATCCTGCAGGTGAGCACAGATTCAAAAGTGTCCCTCAGACGCCAAACACCTGGATCTTAAAACATCTGAATATTCCTGCAAGAATATTTCTGCTACTTTCTTCCTTTCTTTGCTGTGCTAATAGTACTTGCTCATTCTTGAGATGCAGGGGCTTTCTATGTATTTTGACTTGGGTTGTTTTTAAGTTTGTAAAACACATGACCATGTTGTGAGCAAATCTATTGCAATGTGAAAGCATTTTTCTTTTCCCTTATTAAGACCAAAGGGATTAAGTGTCATATTCTATATGGCAGTGCTAGGATATTGTGTGGACCCAGAACTTTATAGTTTTAGAAGGAATTTATTACAGCATTTTGAAAATAAGACTTGCAGCAATGTCCCCTTCTGTAATCGGCTGAAAACATGCAAATAAAAGCATGCAGGTGTATATACTCAAAGAGTGTAATTCCTTGTTATAGTAGGAACAATTGGTCTAACATCATTTCTCCAGTACTTCTATCTCTAGTTGTGATTTCATAAAACCCAAATTTGAGGTAAAACAGCAAAGTAGAAGTATGTGGTTCCTTTCTCTTTTTGTCCCATGGATTGCAGGTGAGTGATACAGACCCTGTACAAAGCTTCTATTAGTGCAGCTTCATGTAAGTTAGGATGCTACAACCACTGGTTAAATCCAGAAACAGTGCTTGGATCTAGAAGAACCACAACCAGCCACAGAACCCAAACCACATCAGAAAAGCAGGCAGATCCCATCTTCTTCTCTACTCAGGAAAGAGATATTACCTTCTGCGGATATAATAAATTAGGGATGTGAAATACTTTGGAACCTCCATTTCCCATGCCCTCTCCTGTGCCTTTTGCCCTGTGAGGTCCAAATTTTCCCCTTTGTGTACAGATGCTTATACCATCCTGTAACATGAGGTCTTTCCAGAACTAGTGCTCCTAGTTAAGTTCCTAGTAAGACCTTTTGAAGGAGACAGATTAGCACAATAATCTTATCTTGCATTAAATAAGACTGCTGCCACTAAAATGATTTACAGCTTCCTTTTTTCATTCTTTGCTTCCAAGACCTATCTCCATTCTATGCTCAACACAGTCCCAGAAATATTTGATGTGTTCTTAGCTGTGGATATCAGTTACTCAATTTATGCATGCTTAGGCTTTGAAAGACTAATATTTGCCAAGTGTTAGCCTAAAGCCAGAATACTCTTCAGGTGTCAAAAAAAGAGGAAAAAACAGAAGATCATATAGTGTAGTAAATGCTAATGAAAATGACTGGTGTGTGGGAAGAATGTATAATCTGCAGAAACAGGAGCTACTTGACTAACAAAACAGTAACAGCTTGTATCCCTGAACTGAAAAGGTCACTTAACCCTCAGATATGATTAATTGGATAAAAGGAGGTGAATCTACACCAAAAACAATCTGTGCTGTTTAGGTGCTAACAGAAGCAGAGCTTGCCAAGCTACAGATTTAATTCTTACCTTCTTGGTTGTTCTAAATCCAGACGAAAGACAACCGGAGCAGCCGTGGCCTCTCCAAACAAGCATCTGGTATAAATAAAGCTCTTTGTTCAATTTGTGCTTCTGAAAAAATGCAAATCTTTGGACACTCACTTTGTAAAGTACCGTTGCTTACATTAAAGAGGAAGTACTTATCTCCTCGTAGCATTACAGATGCTGCTATTCTAGAAAGAAGAAAATGTTTTCATTATGGAGGCGAGAAATCAATGTGCAGTACACAACACAGCAGAAAGTCCTTCCTGACTTAAGCCTCCTATGTTTCCAAACATTGCATTTCCAAGCAGAGTTAAGACCCAAACTGAAAAGTATTTTTTAAAGAATTTTTTAAAAAAGGGATAAATTAACAAAAATGTTTATGCTTTAGTGTAGGAAAATCTGATAGAACTCATAAATCATTCCTTAAATCACATTAGGTGTGCATAGCCATGACATACTGGAATTAAAATGAACAAAAAGCCCCAAATCAAAACCCTTCCTCCAAATGCAGACTTGCCTCTCACAAATGTAAGCACTGAGTCAAACTGGAAATAATTTACTTAAGAACTCTTGAGTGATGCATAGCAAAAACACTTCTGTTTTCCTACCCCAGTCGGGTGATATTAATACAATACATTGCTGAACTGATTCAGAAAGGTTTTAGGTTCGGAACATAGCTGTCTCACCTCATACGATTATGATGCTCTTCCAAAGGTGGTTTTAACCACAAGCGGGCCATGAATATTTCAGTAAATTCTAAGAAAACCTTTTCAGGCTGCTTTCTTCTATGTTAGATAACAGAAAGCATTATTCTTGCATACCAACACTGACTTTTAGCCAGTAATTATAAACCCAAAGTTTCTTCTGCTGATTAATCAAGTTGATACATTTGGTGCATCACTTTCTATAATGTTACAAATATTACTAAACACTTCATGGCCCATTCTAGTCAAGATTACTGAAGATATAAGAAACCAACACGCACATCTGTGACCAGCTCTGGCCAGTTAACACCAAAAGGCAAAAAGGTCTCCATCCAAACATAATGTCCCTGGGGCTTCTTGGGCACTTTCAAGATTAAACCAGAGGAAACATAACTACCACCAATGTCAAATGGTTTTCAGTTCTTTTCCATCCCTATCACCACAGTTGAGAGAGAAGCTACCACTAAACGTTTGTACTCTGATTGTGCACAGCCTTAACAGAACCCTGCAGAATGAGAAGAGGCAGACAACCAACTCACTACATTAACACCCCCTTGAGTCAAAAGCTTTTTTTCACTCCTCTACCCAGAACACCCGCAAGCAAGTTCAGTCACACAGAAAGGTCCACCTAGACTTCATTATGCCACTTTCTTGATTAGAGACTACTAAGTGGAGGAATAATTCGTCAAGAGTCAATGCAAACCAGCATTTTTTACTTTGCTGTGAAAGGGAGCCCAACACTTAAGAAATCAGAGCATTAGAAGACAACACGACAATTCTGTTATTCATTAATAACTTTTATAGCTCAAATTCAAAAATATTAAATCAGAAACAATTCAAGATTCAGGAATTAAAATATGGAACTATATACATGCATAATTAAGGATATCTAGATTCTTCTCAATATTTACTGAAGCTTTTTGTACAAGGTTCTTTCACATGACCGTATTTACACACTTACCTGTTTAAAACATATGAACATACATCTTTGATAGCATTTACAAATTATTTGAATAGAATTTTTGTCTAATTTGAATATAATTTTTTTCTCACTAACAAAAGAATATTTCATTGATTTGACAGATTTGGTTTCATCATATGGTACTGGACAGGTATTTATCCAGTGGAATATCATTATTCAATTATCTAAACAAAAGACATTGAACTGGTACCCAGAATTATCACATATGGCTTTTAAATACCTCCCAAACTCAAAGGATCATCTCACAATTGCAGCCCGTCTGTGGTATGTTTCGAATTAAAGTCTTGAGGCTTTGCATGGGTTAGATCCACAACGTGGCAAACACGTTCTAGGCATGAACTCAGAAACAAGAACCCTTGTAATTGAAAGAAAAATAACTGTGCTTCCAGTGAATTAAGCACATATTAAGGATGTATAAAATGGGATGTGTGGACTTTGCTAGATACTCTAGTTACCTTTATAGGATGTTTTATTGTCACAGGATAACATGGTTTTGACCGGACAGTCTTTCTGGGGATTTACAGGAATGAAGTGAGAGAGAGGGCCATGAACATGATCAGGGGGCTGGAGCACCTCTCTTAGGAAAACAGACTGAGAAAAAGAAGAGAGAATCCGGCTCCTGTGGAACCTCACAGGAGACTTCCAGTACCTAAAGGGACCGACAGGAAAGCTGGTGAGGGACTTTTTACAAGGGAAGGTTGGGATGAGACATGGGGAAATGGCTTTAAACTGAAGGAGGGGAGATTTAGATTAGACATAAGGAAGAAGTTCTTCCCTGTGAGGGTGCTGAGGCTCTGGCCCAGGGTGCCCAGAGAAGCTGTGGCTGCTCCATCCCTGGCAGTGTTCAAGGCCAGGCTGGATGGGGCTCGGAGCAACCTGGTCTAGCGGAAAGTGTCCTTGCCCACGGCAGGGGGCTGGAACTGAATGAGCCTCAAGGTCCATTCCAACCCAAACCATTCTGTGAATCTATGATTTCTTATATACAGAAAGTCCGAGGAGGTTTTGTACATAATGTAAGTTACTGATACAATCTAACCAGTCAGATCACTATCTAGTAACAAGGTCTTACTTCACAAATTAACTAAAAATGTCAGTTTGCTTACTTTCATCTAGGAAAAAAAAACACCCAATTTTTTGGCTTTGGCAAATCAAGTAGCCATCTCCTCTGTTCTCTAGAGCTCCTGCACTGTTTGTTCCACAGCCTGCTCTTCCACAGGCTGCACAGCTTCCTGAACATAAACTATGAATTCCGAAGCCTCTCCACCCTGCGTATAGACAGTGACTGTCTCAATCCCCTCCACTTCATCTGATGAAACTACCAGGTGATGCTGCTCAGACAACTCCACTGAAGCCTGCTGCAGCGTCTCTTGAATCATCAAAGTGTGGTTGGCTGATTGCTCCTCTTCTTTTACCTAAGGAGAAATTGAAGAGGTTACAGGAATTTCACCTTTCAGAGAAGTACCCGGTATCGTGATGATTACTGGAAATACAGCACAGAAATTAGCAATCAGGTCGTTTTGAAAGCAAATGTCAGCCTGACAGAGAATTTGTTGTGAGCACTTCTGATTAATAAGTGTAGAGATAGACAGAATACTGAAAGCAGCAACACAGCATCTCAATGATAACACACAGGGAGCTGCATAGTTCCACAACTTAGGTATTTGGGGACAGCTTTAATCTTTAAGCAGTCGCTCATTCAAATCTGCTCTTACTGAAATAAATCTGAAGTCAAACAATTCCTCTAGTAACAGTGAGATGAGAATTCATCAAAAACCACATGAAACCACATCTGGTGTACCCATCTCTTTCTCTTTTTTTTCCTATCCAACCCATTGCTCATCGTAAACCTTAACAGACTTTCATCAGAAAGCTGTTAAACGTAAACATTACTGAAATAGACTCCTAAGACCCCTGCTTGTGAAGCAGCAAATTTTACATTATTGAAAGGACAGTGACAGAAACAACTGTAAACAACAGCATTTTTACTGATCATTCTGCTTCCTTTCAAAAAGAAAAAGCCAGTACAATTTGGAATCTCATTGCAAAGAGTTCAAATTTGCCTGTCAATTATTAGAATACAGTACTTACAGGAATCCAAGAACAAGTATTACTTAACACATCCATGCAAAATTTCTATGCAAAGTACCCCAGGCCAGTAAAGCCACATCAAAACCTGTAAGTCATGTGGAGGAACTGCATTCTCACAAGTTAGTGATAAAATCATGTACTTTTGAGGTCAGAATGGAATAGCAATTTTTTGGTATGCAAGATATATGCAAAGGCATTTCTTAGATGTTTTCAATACATTACCACTCCCTGTGTTCAGTGGAGAGAACTGCTGCATTTCACAGAAACACAGAATTGTTTATATTGGAAAAGACCTTCAAAAATAAGTTTGCTTGCTTTTGTCTAGGAAAAAAAAACAACTTTTGGCTTTGGCAAATCAAGTAGCCATCTCCTTTATTTTCTAGGGCTCCTGCACTGATTGCTCCACAGTTGATTCTTTTACTGGCTGCATAGCTTCCTGAACATAAACTATGAGTTCTAAAGCCTCTGCACCCTGTGTATAGACAGTCACTGTTTTACCAATCATCTGTGATCAAGTCCAAATGTTAACCCAGCATTGCCAAGTCCACTACTAAACCACATCTGCACATCTTTTAAATACATCCAGGGACGGTGACGGCACCACTTCCCTAGGCAGCCTGTTCCAGTGCTTGACAACCCTTTTGGGGAAGAAGTTTTTCCTAATATCCGATGTAAACATCCCCTGGTGCAACGTCAATCTATTTCCTCTTGTCCTATCACTTGTTACTTGGGAGAAATGACCCCCACCTCGCTCCATCCTCCTTTGAGGCACTTGTGGAGAGAGATAAGGTGCCCCCTGAGCCTTCCTTTCTCCAGACTAATCCCTCTCCAGGTCCCTCAGCCGTTCCCCATCACATTTGTGCTCCAGGCCCTTCAGCAGCTCCACTGCCCTTCTCTGGCCCCGCTCCAGCACCTCAATGTCCTCCTTGCAGTGAGGGATGCAGAACTGAACACAGGATCCGGGGTGCGGCCTCACCAGTGCCCAGTTTAGGGGGATGATCACGCATCAAGTTCAAGAAAATATAGTTAACATCAGTATTGCGGCTTATGAGGGGAGTGGCAACAGAAGGGGAGAACTACAGAAGAGATTCCAAGTATGTGTTTGACTCCTTAGAGACCAGCAAGGAGAAAAAGAGGTTCTACTTATTTGTTTTCCTGCTGCTCTTTCCTAATTTCCCTTTTTTCCCTAAGCAATCATTCCCATTGTTGTACACTGTCTTTTTATTCCATGTTTAAAGTATCTGTCAGTTGAAGAAGATTTCAGACATGCACAAACCCCTTAGGACTTCCCTTTGAACTTTCACTCAATCCATCCGGCTATACAAAGCTTTTTCTTCAACAAGAACAAGTGTGTTCAAGTGTTAAATTATATGGAGGCCTGAGAGCCAGTATGCCTGTAATATATCAATGAAATATACATGGATTTTTATCTGGTGAAAGATTTACCATCTAAAGGGAATCTTGCTGTTGTCACTGACCTTAATGCAATGGCACAATCATACTTACTGGCGCTGGTTCTGGCTTTGTTGCACAAGATTCAGAGTATAGGGATAAAAGGACAGGAGTGGGCTGAAGTCCTTTCCATGTTCTATTTCTTTTACCAAGCATATCTGAACATTTTAATTGAAAGTTACTTTAAACAGCTTCTGCTGGTTGGATGCTTGCCTTGATACAGTAGATTTGCAACTGCCCTTAGAAAAGCTAATTTATATTGTCATAAAATATGGGCGCCAACAAAGTACCCTTTCCTAATGGAAGCTTGAACCCCTCTTTGAAAAGCAAGGAGCTAAATCGTTGTTGAAGGAGTCAAAGTCCTTCTCTTGTTCCTCCCCACCCTTCCCATTTTGTTTTTTTCATTATTAAAGAAACCATAAGTTGTACTGAAAGCAACAGGAATGTTGTGAATTCATAAACAGGACTCCCTTTTCATAACTGTCCCCGACTCTCTCCTGAGGCTACTGCTTCTCTGAGGCTACTTTCCTGCTCCAGTGTCTGCTCCTGCATGAAAAGCAAGAACATACACAAGATCTACTAATGAAGATCATAACAGGCAGACAAAAGTGTAACCATTAGCGAATTCAGATGCAAAGCTGCAGTTAAAGAGGTTAGATAATTAAAATCTCACAGCCTGTTACGAATCAGCTCACAGTTACAGCCCTTGATGATAGAGATCCTCAAACTAATTTTAGACACAGAGGTGTCTAAAATTTGGCCCTTCAATTATTTAATACACACTAAGTTCTCCTGTGTTAGTGCACTCTGTGTTATCCTCTGACAACGTGCTTTCAGCCAGAAAAATTACACTACATTTGCTAAGAGCTGCAAGAATGCACCACACAGTCTGAGAAGGATCTTGTACAGTCTCATTTTAGTCATTTTAATCCAAAACCCATAAATAACTTTGAATACAGTTTTCTAAGTGTATATAAATAACGAAGAAAGGAAAATAACTAAAGCACACTTGACAAGAAAATGAAATGAAACCAGAATCTCATTCAAGTCAATAGTGGTAATCTAATATTTTTTTCAGTTTTATATGCTTTTGAAATGAAAATGCCCAATAAAGAAAGTTAATTTAACCTCCCTACCTGACTTTATCGATGTGGTTTTATTACCCTTGTCATGGAGGGTAAAGAAGACTAATGCCCTTATTTCTGATGGTTCTAGCTTGCAGTATCTTTTCTGGACAGCTATCTGTAACCCTTTTAGTTTGACAAATCACCACCTTATTCTGGATATTTACATTTCAAGTCGGTTCAATGTTTACATGCTTCTGCTTGTTCCTATTAGATTGTTCCACAGGGAATCATCTCGAAGTGTTAATTTACATTCCTCAGATTGATGAAACAGTGGGACAGCTGCCATCGGAATGAATGAAGTCACTACACTCAATTCTTTTTATTGGCATCTGATATCTTTTGAAGAGTAACATCCAAGACCTCTTTTCTGTTTGAGAGGCAGCTGAAAAGCATCTGGCTGCTTACCCTTCTCTGAAGAATGACAGCAAGCAGCTGAAGCCACAAACAGCTGGCGTATTAAATCAATTCAGTACCTGCATCGAAATTCTTTACTAGATAAACGTGTCTCTCAAAAGCCAATGGGACTTTCCTCCCGATGTCTTCATAAGAAATTCAACATTTCTAACTTATAAACATTCTTAATTTAAATATCCGAGGCCCATCCATACACATGTAAGTGATATCTCTTAGAGGAATCGCTTCCTCTCAAAACAATCAAGTATTTTTAATGTGAGAGAAATTAATTCCAGCCATTAAGGAAGATGACTTACGCTTCTTCTCATCCCTGAAAAGGAGTAAAAAAATACTTGCAGTAAGATGCTAAAGCCTCTTGCTTATTCTAGAGCACATCCTGAGAAATAATATCTTCAATTTTCTTTGAAGTCAGCAGGAGTTGCAGGTCCACAGTGTTTAAAATAGTCTTGCTGGGCTAGACTCCAAACCCTCTACAGAATCTCTTCCTTTATTTCAGTTTGAAGGCTGCCTTTCAGTATACCATGAAGAAGAAAAATTAATCACAGAGATCTTGCAGGATTTTGAAACCTTACACTCGGTTACAGATGCTCCTATTTATATCATGAGAGAGAACCTTATATATGATATATGATGTAGCAGCTTCTCTACCATTTTGTTCAGTGCCATTTGAATAATTTGAACTCTCTCTGTTCTAGTTTACATATGGATATATTGTGTGAAAACCACACACAGACACACAGAGAAAACACTGCAGTTTGATCATATGAACCTCTATAATGAGCTACAAAACAAAGACAATCTGGCGCTCCATAGTTTTGGAATAATATGAGAATTGAATATGACAGACTTGCTTTGCATAACATAAAGAATGCAAGCTGGCAAACAAACGTTCATACTGGTGAGGCAGACTTTTACAAAGTCTTAGCAACTGGCTGGTTGAATATATCCTGACAGAAAGACTCTGACTAGCACCTCATCTGCAAAAAGGCTGTATCACCACATTTCCTTCTGAGGAAGTATGGCAACATTGCCATCAGTCAAGAACAGGAATCTTGCTATCTGATTTTAGCTGTTACCCCAGTTAAAACTTTCCTTTGCTGGCACTGTCACCTTAAGCATCAAATTGCTCCATGCCCTAAAGCAACCAGAAACTTGACAATCAACCTATGTGTAACTCCATGTACTAGCAAATTTTCTAGATGAACACCAGCACCAAGCATAGTGCAGTTACAAATCAGAGCCAGACCAAAATAAAAGGTGTGTTGCTGCAGCCTTTGACATGACAGCCATGCTAATATTATTATTTACTTTTGAAGATTTTTTACACTCTA